AATCACATCACTGCTGTCATCTCTTGAGCGTAAAATACAACAAAACGAGAAGTTCCAAGCCCCATACATACGTAATAGCGCTACTGCAGCTTGTCAAATAGCAGGTACTTATAAATGTTGCGCAGTGAAAAAAGGTTAAGATTGACGCTTATTGGAAAGTCTATTGTTGCTAATTTCCAGGAGCAACAGGGTCATTGTAACCACAGCTGATGCATTCTTCTACTGTTTCGGGGTGTGGGTGGTCTTCTCAGAGTCGCAATGATTATATGTACTATGTTGCACTGAGGAAGGAGCGCCTCTTCCAGTTGAGATCCGCAAATTGTGTAGTGGCATAACGAGTGAGTCTAGTGAAACAGACCGTTCAAGTAAAACAGTAGTAAATGGATTAAGCGAACGGCACAGCAGTGCCAGTGTTTATTCGATGCTCCTCTCGGTAGCCGTGGGCTTACCCACTTCGATGTTCCTAATTGTGGATGTCAAGTGGCTGATACTTCAAACCTCTGGCTAAAAACTTGGCTTTTAAAACATTGGTAGAACCCTGGTGAATTTGGCAAACCGCCCACACGACCAACGTAGGAAACATCTCGCAGTGGCACTCTTTTTAATCATGGAGGCTAGTGACTCTCACTAGACTTTTGGATAGCCCTCAGCCCTAACCTCACCCAATTCATATAGGGACTGGGCAATTTACTGATTAACCACCAGATTAGTCTATCAATGCTTTAATCGAAATAAAATGTTTTAACCATTTAACCAGACGACTCTCAAGTTGAGAAAATTCAAGCGACTAGAAAAAAGGTAAAAAGGTGGTTTTATATTATTTTTTTTGCCCTCATTCCTCTTAAGATACAATCTTCCACTGTTAACCAGAGTGGCATTTTCTGTGATTGTTAAGGAGTGATTATAATGTTTAAATAATAGCATACAAAATACTCCGCTTTTAAGAACCTTTCCTACGTTACATTTGCGTGGGTGTTAAATGCACTTCACATGTAAATGCAATGTGGCATTTATGACATTGTCCAAAATAGTAAAACAGCAACTTGTAGCTCTATTCTTTCACATACAATATGCTGGGATATCGATAAACTTAATCAATTAAAGCAGTGGTTCTCAAATGGGGGTCCGCGGACCCCAAAGGGTCTGTGAAGGCATTCCAGAGGTCCGTGAAGCACTGCGTCATCAGTTAAGCACGGCAATAAAGATCATATTTTTTACGGATTGAGAACAACTTTCCAATTTTCGGGTGCGTTTTCTCCTGTGTATGTCAATGAGAGGAATGTACTTCACACCAGCCCTCGGTTGTATTCATTTATTAAAATATTATCAAAATTAACCTAGACCTTTCCCTTCATCTCGTCACGAACGGGGTCCCCCATCATCTCCACCGATCCACAAGGGGTCCGCCAAACATCAATGGTTGAGAACCACTGAATTAAAGGGTGGTACTCATTTGGATTATTTTTTTAACTGACATCTAGCAGTCATTACCATTCCATTATTTAATGAAAGCTAAGGGTTGTTCAAGACAAAACAAGATGCATAGACCCTGCGATTCGACAAACCAAAGTAGCAATGTGACAGATGCATCAGACTTGGTATTTCTCACTATGCCGAATTTCCACACAGGTAAAACAATACCTTTCACAAAAAGAGAAAAAAGATAACACACATGCATTCAACGTAAGGCACTAGACTAGCAAGGAATGGGCTTTCATTGTCGAGATCCACACTTCTCAATGTGCGTTCGCATCAGACGATGCTGTGGACGCACTTGTAGATGCGGCTGTGGATTGCGGCTGTGAATGCACTCGTGGATGTCCATAATTTTGGCCAAACGGTGGCGACACAGTTCAACCTTGAGCCAAACAAGGGCTGTCTACTTTTCAGTACCCTTTGCTTGGAGAGTTGCCTGCTTCAAAAACTAAAAATATGGGCATCATATGGGGCATTTCATTTTAGGCTTTACTGATTTCTTTGAAAAAAGCCGCACTAATGCAGTTTGTGCAGGTGAGTTATGTGGCCAGTGGGACGTAATATAGGAGGCTAATCGTCACGACAAGTTGGATAATGAACTCAAATTTGTTTATGAACTTTTTAATTTACGAAAATAAACATGTGGTTCTATATAGAAACTTGCCAAACGTCGTGGGAAAACACTAAATCCGTAAATTTCAGAAAAACTTCGAGCACCTAAGAAGTGCTTTAGTGCACTGCAGTTACCACTTGTGCAATGGGAACAAGGCTAATGGTTCAAAAACAGGAATTATAGGAGACAAAGAAACCATGCGAGCAAGTCTTCCTGCATTTACTCTTGCGCCTGTTGCACCAGTGGCAACTCTAGCATACCACCATGCTTTGCACGTATGCTACAAGTCCTTCTACAGTAAAACCTCGTTATAACAAAATGGGATATAACAAACTAATGGGTATAACAAAGCAATCATAATTCCCCTTGCTTGCTATAGTGGGAAGAAATGGACATTGGCTATAACAAACTAATGGTTATAACAAAACAATTATGACCGCTCCTTCAACTTTGTTATAACGAGGTTTTACTGTAATATTTACTCGTCTAGCGGCTTTCGACCAGTCGGCGAGTTTCGAATCAGAACCACATGCTTATTACAAATAATTAAATAGCTAACTAATAAATTTGCATTAGTTCCTATCGTAATGACTTGTCCACCCCACATTATGCACACACCGCATTAGTGCAGCTTTTACGCCGTTTTTTCTTTTTAAAAAACGTTAGTAAAGATTCAAAAACACCCATGTCATAGACCCTTTCTGAAATTGCTGCTGGCAACCATAATGCGCCATGTTTGACTATGCCAAAGACTACTACAGGCAACACTGTTTATTACACAGTGCACCGCTGTGACTGTGTCGGTTGTCGCCGCAGCGAGTGAGGGTAAACGCCGCTGCTGAAGATCTACCCAATGACAGCTTGGCTGCGATTACGGATGACTTTGTACCTAATAGGCGAAGTTGACGAGTGCTATGCTGCCCTGAGGACGAGCGACCGTAAACGAAGGTGTACCTACGAATTTGTTCTTAAAAACTACCTTGAGCCACCATCAATTGAAACGGGGAAATTCCTTCGTGGATAAATCCCAATTCTGCTTTGGTGATTGCCATTAGGTATATTCTATATTAGTGTTTTCATGGTTCATGTGTTGTATGCGCCCAATTCGGTGCCTTTCGTAACAAAAGTGCTTGCCCTCGTCGCATTCCGTGGCTATCGTCAGTTCCTAGCGCAACCGGATCTCTCAGAAAGCAAACGAGGATCTCGTGATGCAGAATGACGGGCAGCGGAACTCACCAGGTTCGAGCCCATGCTAAAATATTCTCATGTTGATGACAATGTTTATGATCCTGGCAATAGGAAGTATTTACTGGCCGCCATAGCTGTGTGCGTGACTCCTGAGCGCGTGATGATGGTGAGCTACCACAGTTCTTTTGCTACGTGGATTCTACACCATCGAGATTGCCGGTCTTAGCAGCCTATAAATGCAAGTTCGATCTGAGTATGCGCTGTAAATGGCGTCCTACAAATATGGCAACCAGTGAATACCCCTATATCATTGTTGCAGCAGAGCACAAATACAGTGGGAGTGCATGCGTGCAAGCAGCTTTCTAAGGTTCTGTTGCAACAGCACTGGTACGTCAGCTATACTATCCAGAGCAGTTTCAGTAACACAAACAACATCCCACGACATTTGCCCCTTCGAAGTGATGCGTTCTATGGTACCGTACGTATGAGCAGTTTGCATGCGCATTTCGTTCCCGATGAAAGTGGTGGGATCGTGCCATTTAGACTGATTTGGGAAACATCACTACCCACTTTGTCTTTGTTATTATCATTCACTCCCGTCTGCATATGACGTGACACGAAGCAATGGAGAGGTATCTTACGATTAGCATTGAGTGCTTTGAATTCTCGCCACATCGATGGTGGCCAAAACTGGCCGGCCTCGGTGCCCGCGCATAGTTTTAAAACGCCGCCACTAAATGCCGCAAAATTTCCGGAAAGGTGTATTACATGCAGTGCAAATCTGATTTTGAATCGGGGATAGATCAGAATTCACCCAAATTCGGTTGCCTTTTTCATAAAATAAAACCGGGTTTTAAACAAAAACACTCTACACACTCTGCAATGCTGTACCACACCAAGACAAAGCATTGTAAGGCTTTTGGGAGGTGTCCATGGGACTTCCCCAATGATAAATGTCACATTGAAATTCGTTGGACTGCATCTTTAGCGAGACAGCCTAATTCCTAAAACAATTAAAAAAACCAAGAAAAAAAGAATGCCAGGAAGCTTTTACTTATATTGTAAAATACAGAGTGTGCACCCACATTGCAATAAGCACCCACTGCCCCCTTTTGAGATATTTGAAGTATAGGCAAGGAACATTTCAAGTGCCCACCCCAGTGCCCTTCCGCTTCAAGTGCCCTTCCACTTCAGTCGCTTCTCCGAGAAGCCACAGTGCCAAGCAATGAAACTTCACGCACCAGCGTCGTTGCAAAGTGGTAAAGCTAGACCTGAGTGCACTGGCACAAAGAAGGCTCGACGAGAGAGGAGTGGCTGCTTTAAAAATTAACCACAAACCAAACCTCTGCACCTCTCCTATACCGTTCCATTAAATCAAACAGGAGCCATCACCACCACGTGCCCTTTCGGCTCAGCGCACAAGAGCAGACACACCTCAAAAGTTCCCTCGCACAAAGAAAAAAACACCCACAGAGCGCAGTGTGAGTGTTCTTTCTTTGTGTGAGTGATCTTTTGAGGTGTGTCTGTTCTTGTGCACTCTGAAGTGTAAGCATGAACCACCAACTCGCCCAAGCTGAATTATTGACACTTTTGACTTTTCTGCTCTCAGACCTAACAAGCAAACATCCCCATGCTTTTGCAATTATCTCCAACTGTTGACTGGATGCCTGTTCGGTATTTCACGGTATGCTTTCCGAACCTGTAGGTAATGTGAGGAACTCACTTTTTAAGTTGCACGTCCTTGAAGAAAATGGACGCGTGAGAAAAGAGTGCGTGCAGCACCCTGTGGCTGATTTGCATACTGGGGCTCAGAACAATGGACACATTCTGGAGGTTCATCTTGTTGTGCTTCTCCTAGAAAAAAAAAACAGAAACACATTGAGAATCACGAATCACCGGCCACCAGAACTGTTCATTAAATTTATTTCAAAAGTTGACTGAAAACCATGGTCCTAAATAGTAGTGTACTGAAACCATACCATATGTGCAGGGTTCCATGTTTCCGGATAAATCCGAAAAAATTAGAAAAACACTCGTCGATAAAATTTTTGGCAATCTGGATTCATTTGAAAAGCCTGAATATCAAGATCACAGCGGCAACATAAAAAGCAGAAAAGACGGTATCTTACAAAGAAGCTTAATCAGAGCACGAGATTGGAGGTCCACACGAAAGCCCTCTTTAATTTTCTTACAAATCTCGAACTACTGAAGAAAGGGGGTTTACGTTTTAGCTTGTCAAGGTTAGTTCAGGACAACGGGTCATGGTCCATCTGGGTCACAACAACAGCCATTGTTTAGGTTCCTTGTTTGGACCGTACTACAGTCGAATCTTGTTAATTCAAACTCGAGGGGAACCGAAAATTTGTTTGAAAAAACACGAGGTACACCTAAGCACTTATGAGTTGCGAATGCGAAAGCATGCAAGCCGCTCGTCCCCTCCCTTTTTCGTCTGCTGCATACTTTTCGTCGCCGGTCAGCGCGCGTGCTCCCCTGGGCACGCTGACCTTGGACGCTCCATGTTAACGGCATGCTGATGGACACGCAGCGCCATGGGGTGAGCGGTCATGGAAACTGACCAGCACAGCGGGCAAAGGAAGCCCCGTCGACGCGCGCCAGCCAACGGAATTGAAGGCGAAATCCATCAGCTTTACTTCGCTCCTTTGGGATGAGGGAATCTAGGAGCTGTTTTCACGTCTCGAACTGATGAAGTCAGCTCGCTCCATAAAACAGTTAATGCTTTTGCACTAATAAAGCAGTTTGATTTACCAGGAGTTTCCTCCCATTGAGATGCATCGGATGGGACCTGCATGTTAGTTTGAATTATTGAGAGTCAACTGTATTTGCAGGCTTCCTAGCAGAAGGCAGTGTAGTGTTTTATAATAGCAACAGCTATGAACCTATATATTATAATGGAGAGGAGGGCAGCAGAAGCTTCCACGCTTCCCAGTTACTATGTTCAAGAGTTTAATTATTTCAAGGTATCGACTTTCAATGAGGCTACACTTCTTAGCAACATTTGTTGTGGAATAGTTAATATTGCCAATGGCAAAACACCAATGCCAAATCCAGCTGCAGAAATATCATGCAAAACAGGCGAGTTCTTATGAGTTTAAGGTACCCCATGTTTGAGTCCAGACTTTCATACATTATTTAGAAATCAAAAAAAAAATTGAGAACACAGCAATTTCGGAGACTTGGGAATTTAACAAAAATAAACTCCGATAAACCTTGATTATTTAGCAAGAAATAAACTCAGAAAAACAGTTTCTGAATTTTACAAAAAATAAACTCAAATATAAGCCAGAAAAAAAAAAAAAAAAAAAAGAAACTGATGTGCATACAGGGCTACTTAATACAAACAACAAAAGCTTCTGAGCCCCCAAACATTGACCGAGTGGCCAAATTTACAAACTACAGGCACATTAACCCCTTGCCTACTCATTTTTTTTCTTTAAAGATCGTACAGAAAGCTTTATTTAAATCAAGCAATTCGCGTCAAAATAAAGAAAAACGTTCCCTTGGCTTTCAGGCGTAGTCTCGTGCTCTATACCAGGACTTCTGGTCGTCTCCTCTTCTTCAGTAGTTCTTCACAGTATGATAGAAATCGAGAGATTAGCAGAAACCTCACATAGGACATCGTTTTGCCGAAAATTGGGGTCTCCACTATGGACCTCTTGGACCAGTTCATTTTGACTGTGTGTTTTTTCACTTGCGTCATAATGATGCACAAGGCAAAGTCTGGCTTTATCTCATCCGGAGTGGTGTCAAACCATTGCTCCTCATAGCATTTCTTGGGACGATCCTCATCGCCCATCTCTTGTTCGGCGTAGCGATTTGTCTCAGCAGAGACAGACGCCCAAAAATCATGACTTGCGAACACGGAAAAGGTCAATAAGGCGCTTGTCTTCTCACCAAGACTGCGTTGAACCATTGCTGACACACCTGGGGTTTCTACAAAGGTGAACTGAGCAGGCTGGTTGTCCCTCTTCTCCCAGTTCCACTGACGTGCAGACGCCGAAGTCGATGAAATGCTTCCAGGATTCGCATCGTTTTCAACACTTTTCTCACTGTCCGTAGAACTCTCATCGGATTCCGAATAATCGAAAAGGCAGCAGGATTCGTCGTCAGAAATACTGGCGCATTCATCACTTTCAAAAAGAAGTCTTTGTATATCTTCGTCCGCCAAAGCAGACCTCCACGCGGAAGACATGTTTTTGGCGTGCTTGCTTACAATAGCGCGCTTATTTTTGTCAATGGAGCGCCCTCTCTCTGTCAAAAGGCAAAGCAAACAAGAAAAGAACCCAAGGTAAACAGGAGCAACAGGGGTAGTGCTGCCATCTGCCGCAGAGCTCACAAAACAAGCTCTGAAACCGAAACACGAGTCACACTCGTGGTCGGGTTTTATGGTCCGTAAATGGCGGCACGAGTGACACTCGTTATTAGTAGGCAAGGGGTTAAGCCCACACTAATACGAGAACACTGTCCTTTACTTGACACTGTGTAAAGGCTGTCCAGTGAAGCAAAATAAACTGTTGGTTGTCCAATTTGGAATAGGACAGGAGATATCCATACATTAGGCTAGGGCTTCTCAAAACTTTACAAGGAATCCCTCTTGGTCTTGGCATTAAAGGGGTCAGGACACGTTAAAAATAAGATATGTGATAACTGTACTGCTAGGACCCATTGTATGTTCCTATAATCCTGCTAAATTTGTTTTGAAAATGGAGCGATAGTTTCGTGAAACAATCGATTTATATGCGGGATCCTCGCACTCAGAGACTAGGTTCCCTCAACGTCTTGAGCATCAGCTTCCTCGTTTACCTTTTGCGTTTCGAGCATGCGGTCCGTGACGATTACGTTTACGGCATCGCTCGCTTCGTCGAAGTCTTTGACACTGACCGCAGCAGCAATAAGAGCGATTGTTATCAAGAGATGTCGGAAGCTGTTCATTTTAACTGCGACCCGCTGGCGACCAGCTACAGCGACAGCGAGTCACGGATGAACTCGCCGTGGTCGCCGCTGTAAGGGGCAATCTCGCAGGTGCATGCAAGGTGGAAGGTCAAAGGGCCGGGGGCGAGAGTGAGAATAATGTTCGGGTCGCTGAGTTGTGCGAGCGGTTTTGATTGTACCGCGGGGAGGAGAGCTTGGGCGATCAGGGGGCGCCTAGAATGAGAGAGTGTTCATGATCACATGGTTATTGGGCACCATAATGTGACAACTTTAACAGTATTGCCTGGTCGCCAGATGAAAATGACTAAAATTCGTAAATTGATTATTGCAATTACTGGAACACTAAAAATCTCGAAACTTGGCGTATATAATAAGTAGATTATGAGCATTCCATTTCAAAAATAATTTATCCGTCTAATTTTTGTGTCCTAGCCCCTTTAATGCAGTAAAGTAGTAAACAAGACCAAAGATCATATAAACAGTAATGTGCATGCTAGGGAGTGCTTGCTTGGCTCATAGTTATGCATCAATGAATGGCTTAGATCTGCTAAAATCATACTTATATTGAAAAAAAAAAAATGCTTTACTCAGGGGCAGCGACAGCTGAGGATATTTGGGAGCTTGGGGAACCTTCACACATATTCCGGGGAACCCAGTTTGAGAGTTCACAGATTTGACGACAGAATGCAATTAGAAGACCATCAACACGATTAAGATAATTCTAAACGCAAACCTACCTGGATAAGGAGTGCAGTGAGTACAGATCAAACATACAATGGCTATTAAAGCACGCAAAATGTATAATTGTGGCCAATATGAGCCGAGAGAGCATAATACGGGGCATGCGGTACCTTTGTTGCCCCATTAAATAATAAATAAACAAACCATTGCGTTTGTTACACCCGCCTGCCGCAACACTCTCCTTTTGGCCCTGGCATTCCCTGAGAATCTCCACAGACCCAGTCAACGACAATGTCTGAAACGGCTAAATGCGACACAATGCCTTGAAGAATGCTGGCCGCTTGCTACACAAATCTCCTCCACAACCAAATTTAGTGTCAATAGTGTCGGTTATTGAGCCCCATGCTCGAACCCTCTCCCAAGGTGCTGGATTACTTACCATGCGGATGACATTGGTCATGTGCACAAACACCCAGGAGAGCAACAGTCGGTTAGGGTTTGGCAGCTGCTCTATCAACCTTTGAATGGCTTCCACGCGCTTCGTTTCGTCTTTTATGCCTGCGTGTAAACGAATGATGGCAACTTTAGGTACAGCACATGCCGATCAATTACCTGCAGTGTGGTAGGGAATAATGAAGAGCAGGTTTCATACTGCAAGTGTAATCTTTGCACGATTCTAATGCACACTTACAAAAAGATCCAAACGGACAAGGTCAGGAAAAAAACACGAAAGAAAACCAAAAATGCTCAGTGCAAGTGTGCTTATCTTAGCCTTGTCAACGGCAAACTTCTGTTGCACCCACTGCATTTGGGACCTTTATTTCTTTGACACGCGGGAATGACATCGGTAAGACTGAAATGCAATGCGATCTAGGGACATTGCACGCGTTAATGGCAATCGCTTTATTTTATATATGTGTCTTGACAAGATGAAATCTGCTATGTGGTTTGATGAAATAGGCACCACTTTTTACTTCAAGCCCTTCCAACCTGGAGATCTAACACGTTGCTTATAGAAAGAAACAAAGCTCAAAGGCTCAGCAATGTGATTGCGTGCACTGCAGGTACTGTTTGTATTTCACCGCACTTTCTGAAAGGAGGAACTTTCGTGCCCATGGAGCACATCGCAACATGACCCAAATTCAGTGATGGAAGGGGGCATTTGACGTTTTGTAGCAGGCTCTGTAGAAGGCAAAATATTTGTTTGGAGCAGTTGCTGACGCTTTTGGAGCAGATACCAACATCTGTTAGCGAATCACTTGAAAATAAAAAGTGATTGCATTTCTAAATGAGTTAGTCTATGACAATGATTGACGGTTCCTCTTTGCTACTGGAGCATATTACTTATTAGTTTTGGTGATAAAAGTAGATGAGATGCAAAAGGAACAGAGCCTCCTTTTTAGAAATAAAGCTTTGGACAGAGTTGGTTCCATTTATAACGGGTACTAAAAATGGTCAAAAAATAAATCGCAGCGCAACCCTTCAGTTGGGATAAAGCCCATCTCCCCTCCCCATTTTACACTGAGTAGTTTTATTCTGTAAATATAACTCTTGTAAAATGCAAGCAAGGACCAGCATAACCGTTACACGTCTATCAATAAAAATGCATCCCCAAGTTTTATGAGCCTACCAAACTCGAGACTCTAATATCATAAACTGCAAAAACAATCACTCGCAAATATCATGAAAGACTATGCTCGCGCTTTAAAGGTGACACTGCTCTTTAGCGGCGTTAGAAACAGAGTTGAGTCAAAGTTAGCTGATCTTTCGATCGACAGCTCCACATGAACCATCGTGACTACGGCATTTATTCAAATATAGACCAGCGTTTTTTTTTTTCTTCCCCTCTTTCTCAGTTCAGATTGTTTTAATTATTCTTTTTAAATTAGAGATTAATGTGCAATTAGGACAAAGGTCGACCTGTAATAATCCCGAGCATAAATTCCGTGCCTATCGTGCCAACCCTCCCTCAGGTCAGCAGCTGCTCCTAGCACTCCGGTGCAGAGCGGTGAAGCTCAATGCGGGAAGCACGCTGGTGAGATGTGGTGAAGGTTGACGGAAGTGGCGCAAGTGCCACGGTACTTTGCAGCCACGGCAGGAAGGCAGGTGGGAGATATGATGATTGAGTGATCTCGTTGGAAGTACAAGATTGCGGTTCCGTCTTATCACAGTAGCCACCATCATACTGTTTTTAAAAGTTTTCTCGAGACTTTTAGCTCCTCACATTGCAGACCATTGTCTAGAAATTTAGACGATGTCGGCGATCGACCGGCCAGGGCAATCCTCATATTTTGTTTCGCCCGAAGTCGACGCTACGGCCGACTCTGCGAGCCAATGGGACATATCAAACAGGGTCAGAGCACGACATCACGGCATTTGTCATTACCCCGTACGTGTTTTATCATCCGCTAAACCGATCAAGTGCGGCGAATGTCCCGTTACTTGCGCATTTAGCATGTGTGTTCAAGGTTGTACGCGTTCGAGCTGTCAACTGTGCTCTGACCTAAGATGAAACAAGCCTTATAGTGAGTAGAGATGCAATGAAATAGATATTGTACCATTTTTCTTTCCTTCTACTTCTCTAAATATTAGGGTCGATCAATAATAAAATATGTTAACTTTTTGCTCTAAGCCCATTTTTGCGCAGATGTGGAGCAATTCTGAGCAAAAATGCAATTTTGGAGCATTCATGGTGCAAACTGCGCCGTGAATGAAAGTCTGCTACGATTTTCATTCATGGCGCAATTCGGTGCAAATGGCACAGCACTTCCATCACTGCAATATGCTAAAACGCTGAAGGTGTAATGCGTGATCAGACAACCCCATTTCTCTCTCAGATTTTCTAAATTAAGGTTGTGCTCGTGGCCCTTACGTGGTTATGCCACTCGTAGAACTGTGCATGCTATTGAGTCATTTTACACCGAACGATCCAGACCTAAATTCGACCCTCACAGATTCCGTGTAAAACTAAATTGTATGCGTTATTAGTGATGCAAAAGTACCTTTTCCAAGATATTTTTGCTACACTTTTTTATTTTTTTTTTATGACCATTTGAATTTTGCATCCCCAAGGGGTAAAAAACAAAAATATTTTCCAAGCGGTTTGAAACAAGATTGTGAAACGAACACCAATTTTAATCGGTAAATATATTCTTCTAAATTATACAATAGGTTTTGTCACACATTTCCAAGCATTTTAATTGTTCAGATGCGTTAGAAATGTTCTAAAAAACTGATATTTATGTTTTATTTTGAAAACATGCTACATATAAAGACTTAAAACATCTGTGTTTGTAGTAAGAAAAACACAGTTATTTAAGAAATATATTAATAAAACACGTTATTATTTTTTTCTAAAATAAATGTACAATATCAAACATAAAGCAAAATACTCAGTTAAAAAGAATAATAAAGTTAAAGGTTGTAATTCGTGCAAAAAAAAACGAGCAAAGTTAGAAAAAAGTTTTTTTTTTAATAGTGAAAAGCAATTATTTTTATTTTGTGAATATCCAGTATTGAAAATATTGAAAAATATAGCTTTCAAAGCGAAAACTAAAAGGTGTTTGATGTAAAAGCACATACTTTATGCCTATATGTAGCTTGTAACTAAGACAACAAGCAAGCAAAGTTTGAATGAAGCATTATTTTCTAAAAGCAAGAAAAATTATGTTTGAACATTGGCCGCATGCAACCCCATTGCAATATATTGCAGGGTGCAGGGCCGAGCAAGCAATGCTCAGTCACAGACCTCTAGAAGATTCATGTTCATTTTTACTCAAGAATTTTATTTGCTTGTTCTTGAAAGTGCCTGTCATTCTCGCCTGGATGCTCGACGCTCTAGGGTGATTTCAGATAAGATCGACCAAAGGGTGGCTGGTCGACATTTTTAAATCAACTGATGTTTTTATATGACATTGTCTAGTGTCTGGTATAAACGAATCCACACTTAGTTTTTACCAGAAAAAAAAATTGGAGACAAGAAAAATCGTAAGGCAGGGAGAGGTGGACAGTTGCAATAACGCGCACTGATGGAGGGGGCAAGTTTGAAAGTGAATAATTAAAACAATAAAATTAGGAGAATTTTAAAACTTTTTACAAACAAACTATGGGTACAACTTGCTTGTAATATAAAGTAATAATATTTATTAAAAATTTATTTAGTTTTCTAAAAATTGCCAAACATGCCTGCTCGAACGACAAATGGCAAACTTTGGAAATCTGTATCTCATGAAATAATTTAATCATTATTACATAACTTGCAGACATTATTTTACTAATATATGGCTATTATTGAAAAAATAAATAAGGTGTCTGAGTGACACAATAGTTACAATATATTTAGGCAAACATGGGAAAAAAATCAAACAAAGAAAAATTCCAATGCAAATAAAAAAAAAAAAACACCTTAGATTTTTTTAAAATTTGGGTACCCTGTTATACTCTATTTCGGCATTCATTTCTATTAAAAACATGTTGCATCATTGCACTGTGAAAGAAGAAACAACTCCCCAAAGTAGGGTCCTTTTTCAAAGCCTACACTTAGCAGTGTCCTATACAAGAAGTGACTCTGAGTTCCAGTTTCATGAAACTTGCACAAATCTTTTATATACATTTATTCAGATGAGGTCAGTGATAAAAAGAGCGATCGGTCACACAGTAAAAGGGAGGAGAAACTATATACAGCATTTTACATAAGCGTACAAAGTGGTATCATATTAGAGACTAATGATTTGAGAAAAGATGATGCAGTGTGAAGTTGTACCTTCCGGTATATTTTACATCTAGAGTAAAATAAATAACTTTACTTCCACACACAAAAACAAAGATATAATAGTAAGATATTTAGGTTGGCTGTGTATTTACGATTACAAACAATTTCAGGTGACGGATGCCATAGTGCCTAACTGGAGCAGCTTCGATGCTCTCGGTGTATGAATGAATCGTGGCAAGCCGATATATTTTATCCTGCTCGAGGATAACATTTTGGGACTTTTTTTATAGTGATCAGATAAAAATTATTAGTAACCTCCAACAAAAACAGTAGGTTAAATACCCCGTGAAGAAAAATGTGATAAATAAGATGTCCCTGCATTCAAAATGAGCAGTCCTTGGGAAATCAAATTCGGCACTTTACGCTAAGGTTTTCCTCGCTGTACCCATTTAATAAAGTTGCTTCCAAGCAGATCCGACTGTCCGTGCTACATATACGTCACAGGTCCCTTCTGTTGATGACTTGCTGAGCCGCCACGCGTGCCAAGACTGAATGCCAGGGAAGGCGCGCACCGTCAGCCACTCTTCTTTTTTTTGTTCACGATACCGAACAACCTCATTTTCGTCCAGATATACAAGATGCACGCCTTTCAGTTTCTTTGATAGAACGCTCACCATTGTCCTGGCCGTCTGAATTGCGCTTACTGAACGTTCTCTCAGGTTGTTCAGCGTGGCCTGGTGCTTCACGAGTCCGCCAACTCCGTCACATGCATTTTTCCCATGTCCAGATGCAGAAAATAACCACTGGGCTTGTGGGCAATCGTCCTTTGCAAATTGGTGAAGCTGGT